TAATCCTAGCTACTCAAGAGGCTGAGATCTTAGGATCGCAATTCAAAGCCAGCCAGTGCAGGAAAGTCCATGAGACTCTTATCTCCAATTAACCACCAGAAAACCAGAAGTAAAACTGTGGCTCCACTGTGGTAGAGCACTAGCCTTGAGCAAAACAAAGAGCTCAGGGATGGTAGCCAGGCCCTAAGTTCAAGCCTCACAATTGACAAAAAAAAAGATAAAAGGAGGAAGGAAGGAAGGAAGGAAGGAAGGAAGGAAGGAAGGAAGGAAGGAAGGAAGGAAGAAAGAAAGAAAGAAAGAAAGAAAGGAAGGAAGGAAGGAAGGAAAGAAGGAAGGAGAGAGAGAAAAAGAAAGAAAGAAAAATTCAATATGTACTTGTGTGAAAATGAAACTATGTAAGCTGAGGGTTGGAAGAGATGTAGAGAATGATGAAAGGGATAACATTAATCAAGACGTATTATACTCACAAATTAAGGATAACTTAAAGATAATTTTTACTTTCACAAAAAACTTTTAAAAATAGTTGCTCAGTAGTAATACACTATAGCTATTCCATTTCTCCAACCTCACACTAACATCGAATTCTTTGTTGCTAGAGGATAATCACTTGGCTTCATTCAGTTTAAATGGTCAACAAGGACCAACATTCACATGTATTCATTGGATATATGAATTGAAACCACTTGCTGCCTTCATAGCAAAGACACCAACAAATGGGTGTTACTTATGAGAGTGGGTTGTGAGGGAGCTGAACTCTGATCTCCTCTGTGAACCAGGAACAGTTCAACAAAGCACATGTCCAGACCAAATGCATAACAACTTCACAAAATTAAAAGACTCTCTAGTATTTTGAAAAGAAGGTCTTTGTTTGATTTGATTAATATTGAGTTTGTGTCTTCAAGAACCTTATTTAGCTACTTACATAAATTATGAAAAATGTTTCCCAGAAAGCAAAGTAAAGATTAATTAAGACAGACACCTAAGATTACTGAGGCTAGTTAGGCCAAGAGTACAGGTCCCCTGGGAGAGTGGCAAAAAAAAAAAAAGTAGAAATTAAAGATCTTTCTTCCATGTTCCTCTTTCTTGGCTGAGTAAGGCACCTATTAAAACATGATCCCATTAATTTCCTGGCTGACTCTGGGCCTTCCAATTTCCATTAATACAGTACAGTAACAACTATACGCTTTTTAGTTAAGTACATGCTTCTTAATGGAAATGCCAAAGATTCAAAGGCAGAGATCATGTACTTCTTCCCACAGCATTCTGTATATTAATTGATGCTAATTAAAAAAAAAATCAAGCTGGGCACCAGTGGCTCATGCCTGTAATCCTAGCTACTCAGGAGGCTGAGATCTGAGGATCCAGCCAGGGCAGGAAATTCCATGAGACTCTATAGTAACTACTCAGAAAAAGCCAGAAGTGGCACTGTGGCTCAAGTAATAGAGCTCTAGCCCCAAGACCAGCAAAAATAAATAAGTTGATTAAATTAAAAAGTATACACACAGGGGAGGGGGGAGGCTGGGAAGGGATGGGAAGGGTAAACAAAGGAGGAGGCTGCAATGCTTGGTAAGAAATGTACGCATTATCCTGCCCATGCAATTGTAACCCCTCTGTACAGTATGTTCACAAATAAAATAAAATTAAAAATAAAAGTATACACACAGAGAACACACTGAGGGCATGGCTCAGGTGGCAGAGCACATATTGATGTAGGCCCTGGGTTCACCGACTAGTATAGGAAAAAAGAAAAGGTAGATTAAATATCTAAGCCCAGCGGGAAAAAATGAATAGATTTTGTAAATAAAGAAGTCATCCACACAATTTTAGAGCAAATAGAAATTTTAAACAGTGCTGTACCCATTAAACAGGAGCAAAGGGGAAAAAATAATACAGCAGCTACACTAACAAAAAATATTAATGTACAACACAAAAGAATAAAAGGGAGAAGAAATCATAACCCAGGGCACAGAAAGTTTCCTTTGATGCAAAAATATACAGTAACATTGATTCAAACATCCTGAAGCAGATATGACTATCTAAGAACAAGGTAAGACTGTAGAGAAAACTATCAATTGAAATCTAAAATATTATCATAGAATTAATAGATAGGGCAAAAATAGACTAGGCAGAATGGAAAATCAAATTGATTGGTAGAAATTAAAAACAATCATGGGAAAGAAACAAAAGAAATAAAGGGAAGAAAAAAAGAAGGGGGATTGGAAGCATAACTCAGTTGGTAGAATACCAGCCAATGAGTGCAACTATCAGGTATTAAGTTGGAGTCCTAGTCTCAGACCTAAAAAAGGAAAAAAATGAAAAAAAAGGATGAGGGAGGGAAGGAAGAAAGGAAGGAGAAAGAGAAGGAAAGAAAAAGAGAAAAGAAAGAAAAAGCAAAAAAGAAAGAATAAAGCAATCAGAAAAGTTGTAGGAGAAGTTGTACAATGGGTAGGAGAAAAAATGACCCAGCTTAGACAGTTGTCAAGAAGAAAGAAGAAAAGAAGGAGGAAGAGGAGGAGGAGAAGGTGGAAGGGGGGAGGAGGAGGAGGAGCAGCAGCAGCAGCAGCAGCAGCAGCTGGGCACTTGTGGCTCATACCTATAATCCTAGCTACTCAGGAAGCTGAGATCTCATGAGCATAGTTCAAAACTAGCCCTGGAAGAAAAGTCTGTGAGACTCTTATCTCCAATTAACCCCCAGAAAACCAGAAGTAGAGCTATGGCTCAAAGTAAGTGGTTGAGCAATAGCCTTGACCAAAAAAACCTCAAGGACAGTGCCCAGGCCATGAGTTCAAGCCCCATGACCAATAAAAAAATAAAGTAAATGTTCAAAGATGATATTACTATAAACTAGACTAAATCTGCAGGCCATTAAGAATTGTGTTTCAAGAAAGTTGGTTCAATTTAATGTTGGTATAATTCGTGGAGGGGAAGGGAAAAAACAAATCGTTTAAATAGGGATACAGGTGGACCCAGTGCAACAATGAGATGTACAAGTCATTATGTCAAAAAATGAACTTTATAACTTTGGTGGGGGTGGGGGGAGTGGGGAGGATCAGGTAGTTGGGGGGGGGGTAATGGGAAGGTTTGAGAAGGGGAAACAAAGGAGGAGGCAACAATGCTTGATAAGAAATGTACTCATTATCTTGCCCATGTAATTGTAACCCCTCTGTACAGTATTTTCACAATTAAATAAATTAAATAAAATAAAAACGTTGGTTCAGAATGGTCAAATGAAACATATGCTAAATATAGATTGTTCAGACTTTCCAACAAAAGAGGTTACTTATAAAAGGGTACGTGTTTATAAAATGGCAGGGAGTTTAAGAAATCACATTTGACTTCAGATTTTACCCAACAACATAAAATGCTAGAAACATTAGGATAATGTTAAGTCTGAGAAGTGACAAAGCAAAGAAAACATGGCCTAAAGTTAAAGTCACATAATAAATAGCACATCTCTGAATCCTTTGTGAAAAGATGAAAAAAATAGATTCCACACATTGAAAGGTTATTGATGAGAAAGTAATCCATTTAAATATAGAACTACAAACAGAAAACCTATGTGAATACTTGTCTCAGGACAGAACATTACCTTGTCACTAGGAATGGCATAGGAAATAAGGAGAAAAAAAAAACTTAAGCATGCTCATTTCTATAGCAACAAATCATCACTGCATCTAAAAGTGAAGGTTAAGAAGTTTAAGGATTGCTCCAGCTTCCTGAAATTTTTCCTCTATGAATTCCAGAGAAGACAAAGAAATAAAATACTTAGTAGGATGTTTATGGGTATTTTAATGCTTACTTTTAGTTTTACTTAAGGGGTTTTTTCCTTGTTTGACAAAAATAAATAAAATTAAATTTAAATGTTTATTGGGCAGCTCCTCAGTGTGGTTTTCTTATTGAACTGCTTCTCTGGATATCAATTCTTCATCTGTATATATACAGAACATTACTTCAGTAGTCACCACTCCATACTAAGAATAGCTATTTTTCTGCTGGATAGTAGGGATTTTTATTTTCTTGGTGATAATGTTTTTCTGCTTGGCTAGAATTCTTTATAAGAAGCAGGTATCCATTTCTATAAATACATCCTATTATGAAGTCTATTAAAACTATTAGAAACAAGTAAAAAAATTTTAAAGACATACAAAGGAAATGTTGGATCTTAAAATGTAATTTTCAGCAGGGCACCAGTGTCTCATGCCCATAATCCTAGCTACTCAGGAGACTGAGAACTGAGGATCACATTTTAAAGCCATCCTGGGCAAGGAAAAGACTCTTTTTACATTAACCACCCAAAACAGTTGCAACTGGAGCTGTGGCTCATGTGGTAGAACACTAGCTTTGAGCAAAAAAGCTCAGAGACATCACCAAGACCCTGAATTCAAGCCCAATGACACACACACACACACACACACACACACACACACACACACACACAATTAATTTTCAAGCCAGGCTCATACCTGTAATCATAGCTACTCAGGAGGCTGAGCTTTGAGGATCTCAGTTTAAAGCTAGCTGGGACAAAAAAGTATATGAGACTTTCATCTCCAATTGGCCAGAAAAAAGATAATTTTCACAAACAAGAATTTATAAATATAGAAGCCAGGCAACAAAGTTGAAGCTAGAATAATAGAGTATCAATATCAACCTTCCCTATATGAAAATCTACTTTAAAAACAATGGCTAATGAAGAAACAAACTTTTGTAACTTTCTTGCAAAAAAAAAAAAGATCTAGGAAGGTATTAAAAGCACAGTGCGTTTATTTAAACTATTACTTTTCATAATTCATTGAATTTATCACAAGTCAATATTTCCATTCTGTTATCTTGCCAGGCAATACAGTAATGTCACATAAACTTTATATAAAAGTATGGAAGTTAAAAGTACAACTAAAAACAGTTGTGACCTGTGTGGGAGGACTATTTGCATTCTTATCCTATTGTTGTTCATTTTTTCTCTATTTCACGGTCCTCTCAACCTTGTACTTATTTTCGTTTTAGGGCAAACAGGGCTTCTCCTCTGACTGCCCCACTGAATGTCCCACCACAGCATTATTATTATCATTTCTGTTGACCCAGTGGTACCTGTCTACCCTGTGCATCGCAGCAGGCCTATAACCCTTAGGGTTCCTATGGGCAGCATGATAAGCATTGGCTATGAGGCCCAAACTGCCACCCACCATTCTCTTTCTATAGGGGATGAAGAATGAAGGTTGGAAGGGCTGTTTGAAGATTTCAACCTAAAAAAAAAACAGAAATAGAGAAAATATGATGAATCCAGAACTAATATCTAGCTCTAACTACTAAATATAAACCCAGAGACATAAAATATATGCATATATGGAAATTGCATGGACATATCACAATGACATTTAACAAGAATATGTGCTAATAAAATATGAAATTACTATAAATCCACACATCCGAAGACTTTCAAAAGCACAAGGAGTACAAATTAATAGAAATGAAAGGAAAAAACTCTCTTTGGAAAATTTGGCAGCATTTTATGTGCCTTAAATTTAAATGAAGTTGCTTTATAACTTAAAGTAAAACTAATTCTTCAACTAAAATGAAAAACAAAACACCTTTATTTCAAATGCATGTGTATTCTTGCATTTTCCCCCTACCCAATCCCCTCCTGACCCTTGCCAGCCAAATCCAAAACTGCTTAATCCTGATCTCTAAAGGTCAAGAGCCAGAAAGATTCATTGTAAATAAGCCATATGACTGATACAGACACTTTGAAAAGACACTGCTATAAAAAGAATTAAGCTACTACAGACCTGATCACTAGATGGAAAAGGCTAAGTCTAAAAATAAAGAACAAATATTTTACAGTTTTATACATATGTGTATTTGTTTGTATGTATATTTGTTTGTATGTATATTTTAGAAACTGAACTAGAGTTGTGGCTCAAGTGATTGAGGGCCAATCATGAACAAGACAGCTGAGCAAGAGCACAAACCCTGAGCTCAAGTCCCAGTACTGCTCCTCACAAAAAAAAAAGTGGGGGTGGGATGGGAAGGTGGCTCAGTGGTAGAGTGCTTGCTTTGCATGCATGAGGCCCTGGGTTCGATTCCTCAGCACCACATAAGCAGAAAAAGCCAGAAGTGATGCTGTGGCTCAAGTGGTAGAGCGCTAGCCTTGAGCTGAACTGCTGAGGGACAGTGCACAGAGGCCTAGGGTTCAGGC